AATTTGAACCACGTATATTGCTGATAAAGACTACAGGCTAGAAAGTCCTTGAAGTAAAGGTAAAAGGCTCTTCCGTCTCTTGATGGCGAATTCTTTAGAGATGCGTCAGAATCGGCTCGAATCATATTCCATTTGACAGTATTTAATTGAATAGAAGTTTGACCTACTAACAATCAATTTAGTAATTCCGACAAGATAAGGAAGAGATGAGGAGACGACGTGAAGAGAAGAGAAGAAGACGTTACGAGGGGATTGGTGAAATGTGACAAGCGCGAAAAATTCCTCACGTCACTATGGACCATGGTCCTCACTTTAGGGAATCTTTTTCTATCGTTTGGGTCGAGTCTTGTGAAAAAGGTTGTACCTCGTGACATGAAAAGGTGAATTCGGTACGTCATGGCCTAGATACTTTCTCAAAATTATCAAGAAATCGAAAATAATAAAATAAAAACAGAGATTAATTTCACTTCTTGCTAATAAAATGTAGACCTAAATGATTCCTTTAATAAACTAATTTGCTCGCCTTATCACCTCAGATTTTTCTTGTCATTTAAATGTAAATAGTCACCTTAAAATATCTTCATTTTGAAAAAGGAAAAAAAAAATTGTGATTCCTATTAGGGTTCGTTTGATTATAAGGGTGGAAAATAGGTGGAAAGAAAATGAATTTCAGAGAAAGTAATTGTCTAGAAATTGTTTTTCAGAGAATTGTTAATTAAATGTGTTTGATTGGTATAATTTTTCACCTGAAAAAATGTTGAAATTTTGGATTTTTTTTGTCCNTGGAAAGTGTCCATTAAAGTGAAAAAAAAAATTTACAATTGGTTATGAAATTTGTTACCATTGCCAAAAAGTAAAAAGAAAAAAATTGCTCGAAAACTATTTTTTCATCAAAATTTAGTGTTCGTTTGGTTTCGTTTTATATGAAAATTGTCCATTAAAGTAAAAAAAATTTTTTTACAATTGTGTATGATATTTATTTCCATTGCCAAATAAAAATGGCCAGCAAGGTGGGAAAATGAATTCCCTTATTTTGAGGAATTCAGGCACGTAGACAATGGAATGGGAAAACTTTTTCCAGCCAAATTTTGGCTATCAAACATCATAAATGGGTGGAAAAGGAATTGTTTTTCCACTTTCCATAGAAAAAGTAAGGTATCAAACAGGGCTTATATGATTTTGAACCAAATGCTATCTTAAATGAATGTAACACGCCCAAATATTTACGTGATTTGGCAGAAGTTTCGAGATTCCAAACTTTAGAGTTCTTTATATCTTTATTGAATAAGATTCTAACAAATTACGGTCTTCTCGAAAATTTGTAAATAAATTTATAAGATATGAGAACCTTGAAGAAAAGAGACGACGTAACAAAATTTAACTTTAGAGGCCACATATAATTCTACAACAAATATAACCCACATATACTGCTGAAAGCAACTAGTTTAGAGGCCACATAATCTTGGAAAAATGTGCAACACTCGTTTACACCATGAGGGTTTATTTGTCACAAAAGCTATGAGAAAAGACATTCTTATCATTTATTTATGGTGTTAATTGTTGAAAAAGATGTTAGAAGAAAGAATGATTTTATTTCTGTTTTGTTCTTGATGCAAATTACAGTGATACGGTGCTGATTAAATAGGTACAGCAAGTTAGGCTAAGTATGGAAATAAATATGTACAAGGGAATAATTTACAAATCAATGGCTATTCCTAGAATTATGCTGGTGATTCCTTGGCTGATTTCTTGCAAAACAAGATCATGAGAATCAGCATGTGAATGAGCTAGTGATGATTTCTTGGCTGATTTCTTGTAATTTGATTGTGTTAAGATTCCCCCTCAAGTTGGTGCATGAAGGTCCGTAATGCCCTACTTGCGTAAAAATGGTGAAAAAGTTCTCGGCCTAAGGCTTTAGTGAAGATGTCAGCAATTTGCTCGTGTGATGACGTATGTATCGCGGTGAGGAGACCAGACCGGATCTTATCACGAATAATGTGACAATCAATCTCAATATGTTTAGTCCGTTCATGAAACATAGGATTATGGGCAATGTGTAGAGCAGATTGATTATCACAATGTAGACTGAAAGGTTCAGGATGAGGAATGCCAAAGTCAGCGAGGAGTTGTTTCAACCATATAAGCTCACAGGTGGTGACAGCCATGGCACGATATTCAGCTTCAGCGGAAGAGCAGCGGAAGAGCGGGCTATGGTCGTTTGTTTTTTTGTGCGCCATGAAATAGAACTCGTGCCAAGCTGAATGAAGTAGCCCGTGGTGGAACGGCGAGTGGTGGGACAACTAGCCCAATCTGAATCAGTATAGGCAGTAACATGTAAGGTATTGGAGGATGGAAAGAAAATGCCTTGACCTGGGCTGCCTTTGATGTATCGGAGTACGCGAGTGGCAGCTTGCATGTGAGGAAGACGGGGAGTTGACTGAGAGTGTTCACTGTAAAGACAATATCAGGACGAGTGATGGTCAGGTAGATGAAGCGGCACACAAGTCGGCGATAGGCGCTAGGGTCGGAAAGAAGGGCTCCATCTTGATTTGTGAGCTTCAAGTTTTGTTCCATAGGAGAGGAAGCGATCCGGGTGCCAAGTTGGCTACTGTCATTCAGAATATCAAGAGCATATTTTCTTTGATTGAGGAAGATGCCTTTATGTGAACGGGCAACTTCGAGACCAAGAAAATATTTGAGGGAACCGAGATCCTTGGTTTTGAAATTGGTGGAGAGAACACGTTTGAAGACCTCAATTTGGGAGAGATAATTTCCAGCAACTAGAATATCATCAACATAGACAAGCACAATGGTGATACTCGTGCTTTTGGCCAAAGTGAATAAAGAGTGATCTGCTTGAGATTGAGTAAAGCCTGCATCAAGAAGTACAGTGGTTAATTTAAAAAACAAGTTGCGGGATGCTTGTTTGAGGTCGTAGAGGGATTTGCGGAGGGGACATACAAGGGTCTCCCCCTTAGGGCAATATCCGGGAGGTGGTGTCATGTACACTTCTTCATCAAGGTCATCATGCAAAAAGGCATTGTTGACGTCAAGTTGATGAATGATCCATTGTTGAGTGGCAGCTACAGCCAACAAACATCGAACAGTAGTCATTTTTGCAACAGGCGCAAAAGTTTCATGATAATCTAGTCCTTCAACTTGAGTGTATCCTTTTGCAACCAGGCGAGCCTTGTAACGTTCAATTGAACCATCTGCTTTGAGCTTGGTTTTGAAAACCCAGCCGATGGATTTTTTACCATGAGGGAGTGGTTTAAGTGTCCAGGTGGAGTTAGCTTCAAGGGCACGGAGCTCATTAGACATTGCCTCACGGCAAAGGGGATGGCGAAGGGCAGTGGAATAACAAGTAGGTTCAACAGAAGTGGTAAGGGCATGTAAAAAATTAAGATGAGAGGGTGAGAAACGAGAATATGAAAGAAAAGTAGATAAAGGGTGAGCAGTACCTGAGGTGAATGTATCGAGTGATGATGCCGTAGGGCCGTGCTTCTAGAGTCAAGCAGACATAATCCTGGAGATAAGCCGGTCGAGTAATAGTGCGATGAGGATGGAGAGAGGGAGAGGGAGAGGGAGATGGAGGGGGAGATGAAGATTCCGGGGTGTCGTCAGGAGTAGGAGTGGATGGGGTTGGTAGGATAGTTTCGGGAATGGGTAAGGTTTCGGGAATGGGTAAGGGGATAATAGGAAGAGAGGGGTGGGAGATATCTGAAATATCTTGAAAGGGAAAGGTGTCTTCATGGAAGGTGACATCTCGAGAGAAAATGATTCCTTGTGTGTCGAGATTATAGAGTTTGTATGCTTTGTGGTTACTAGGATATCCAAGGAATATGCATTTTGAGGCACGGGGAGAGAATTTGTCTCGATGAGCCCGGAGGGTTTGAGCGTAACATAGACAACCAAATACACGAAGGTGATTATAGTTTGGAATGGTATTGAAGAGAAGTTCGAAAGGAGATTTATTGTGAAGAATGCGACTAGGTATACGGTTAATGAGATATGCTGCAGTGAGCACGCATTCTCCCCAAAATTTTAGGGTAAGTGTGCTTGAAATCGAAGACTACGAGCAATATTTAGGAGGTGCCTGTGTTTTCGCTCCGCAATGCCATTTTGTTGTGGAGTTTCAACACAGGTACGTTCATGAATAATGCCGTGACTATGAATGTAGGTTTGAAATTTTTGTGAGAGGAATTCTTGTCCATTATCAGTGCGAATTTTTTTTACCGTGGTATTAAACTGATTTTGGACAAGGGCAAAAAAATGCATAAGATTTCTATATGTCTCATATTTGTAACGCATGAGATAGATCCAAGTGGGGCGTGAAAAATCATCGACTATTGTGAGAAAATAATGAGAACCACATAGGGAAGATGTATGATAGCCCCCCCCAAATGTTACAGAATATTCTATGGAAAGCAAAATAACTTTTATTGTTATTGGAGGAAAAAGGCAAACGTGTGTGCTTAGAACGAGCACGAGTATCACAATCCGAAACAACATACGAATTAGAAAATAAATGGGGAATAACAAGACGGGAAGGATGACCTAGGCGCCGATGCCATAAGTCTTTATGAGCAGTGGAGTGCACAGAGAAAGCTGAACATTGTTGGGCCAGTATACATAGAGCCCATTGCAAAAATCACCCGCTCCAATCAGCCTCATCGACTGTGGGTCCTGAAATAAGAAATTTTTTAAGGAAAAAGAAACAATACAATTTTTGTTAGTGGTAAGCTGAGGGACAGATAAGAGATTAAATTGAAAATCAGGGATAAAATAGACATTTAAGAAGGTAAAGGAGGGGGATAAGATGCAATTTCCAATTCCCTTAATAGAAAGGGTGTGTCCATTCGGCAGTTTCACAGAGAGAGAGAGAGGAGAGGGGATTTTAAGGCGGAAAAACCACGTCGGTCGTGGCACATGTGGCGCTAGCGCCACTATCCACGATCCAGTAGTGGTAGGTATCAAAGGAGGAAGGGGAAAAGATGATGTTACCGACGAGATTGGAAGGAGTGGGTGTCGGGGTGAGCAAGTCCAGCAATTTTTTGGTAGAGTTTCGGTGTTAATCCTGGTACCGGCGATGGGTTTGAGGAGAGAGAGGCCTGATTTGCTATTGGAGTTAATCCTGGCGGTGGCTTGCCGACAAGTGAAGGGCGCGGCTTGGAACGTTGATCGCGACCAGGTGGGTACCCAATAATCCTCCAACATCGATCACGGGTGTGACCCGTTTTGCCACATTCAGTGCAGCCAAGGTTGCTTCTTGTGTTGCCGGAGTTGGTTGCTGCAAAAACCATGGATTTCGTCGGAAGTGGTCCGACATGAAGGAGCCTCTGTTGCTCTTCCTGAAATAGAATAGAAAAAACCTTTGTGATAGGGGGAAGGGGATCCATAGCTAGGATTTGAGTTCTGAGTTGAGCAAAGGAATCGTTTAGGCCAAGAAGGAACTGGAAGACACGTTCATCCTCTGCTTGTTTCTGTAAATTCTTGAGGTCATTGTTGTTTTGAAGATGTCTTAATTCATCCCATATTTGTTTGATTTGATTATAATATTCATGGATGGGGTGGGTATTTTGTTGCAGAGAGGAAAGTTCACGCTTGAGGTGATAGAGGCGTGCATTGTTGCCGTGGCTGAAGCGAGATTAAAGGTCAATCCAAACTTCTTGTGGGTCTGTATGGTATTCAAGGGAGTTGGTTAGAGATGGACTGATGGAGTTTAAAAGCCAGGTAAGGACCATGTCCTTGGTTTGGTTCCATTGTGTGTATTCTGGAGAGTTAGAATCAGGGATGAAGAGGGAGCCATCAACAAAACTGAGCTTGTTCTTGGCATTGAGTGCTCGAGTCATGGCCTTCTGCCATTTTGGAAAATTATCTCCTGTAAGGAAACCAGAAACTAGAATTAGGCTGGGAGAATCTGAGGGATGGAGTAGATATGAAGAGGGGACATTGGAGGAGAAAGAAGAAGCCATTGAGGTCTCTGATGGAAGAGGGGTTGACTCTGGCTCTGATACCATGTTGAAAAAGATGTTAAAAGAAAGAATGATTTTATTTCTGTTTTGTTCTTGATGCAAATTACAGTGATACGGTGCTGATTAAATAGGTACAGGAAGTTAGGCTAAGTATGGAAATAAATATGTACAAGGGAATAATTTACAAATCAATGGCTATTCCTAGAATTATGGTGGTGATTTCTTGGCTGATTTCTTGCAAAACAAGATCCTGAGAATCAGCCTGTGAATGAGCTAGTGATGATTTCTTGGCTGGTTTCTTATAATTTGATTGTGTTAAGATTAATCAATCAAAAATAAATACAAAAAATTGTAATTTATCCTTAGAAAATTAAATCGTTATATGACATCTTGTTAGTAGTTGCATGCATTTTAGTGACTCAAAATAATAAGTTCAAAATCATGATCAATTTTATTATCAACTTTTATTATAGTAGAGTTCCTACCGTGTGCCATACATTTATTATTATTTTTGGAGTGGTCATGGCTAGGAGTCATGGGCGGATCTAGGGGGTTTCCTGAGGCACCTCCAACTTTTGAGATTTTTTTCTTCTTTTTTATTTTTATTTTTTAAAATCGTGTTTGGTATCGATTGAAATCTAAATTTTAATCTAAATCAAAATTAACAATTAATTTTAATAACATATTTCATGAAATCCATAGTTGTTTAACTTTTATCAAAATTTACTAAAAATGTGATTTTAATCTCCATCAAACATGGGCAAAATCATAATAAATTTGAATTTCGATAACATGCTAATTTTAAAAATTCTTCAACGATCGTACGCTAATCGAATCTACAAATTACTTATGTTATCTTAAAACTTATTTCGAAAACTGTATTATAGGCATATCGAATAGTCCAAACATATATTGAAAATAGTTAAAAATACGTTAAACGTGAGTCTTAAAAAAAAGACGTCTAACTCGCATTGTTTTTAAAATTCAATTATTTCGTTAACGTTTATTATTTTTCCTGTACAGATATTTCAATGTAATTTTCATCATTTTATTAGGAAATTTTATATGGAATATGACATCAAAAAATTTCGAAATTTTATATCCGAAAAGGTTATATCCCATGTAAATTTTCGGATGTAAAATTACATGGGGTATGATTTTTTTGGACGTAAATTTTCAATTGTAAAATTTCTCCCAACTTCTTTGCAAGTTCAATTGTGCCCCCCTAACTTTTAAGGTCTGCGTCCGCCCCTGCTAGGAGTTGTGTGTAAAATTATTAGGATTGTATGTTATTAAGAAATATTTACTAGCTCGAAATTAGTGTTTGGATACATTAATAATGTAAAGGTGTCATCACAACCAATTCTAAAAAATATAGGAATATGTTACATCTCTACCTACATGGAAAGTCACAAGTTTATGATAGCTATAATATAGGTTGACCTCAATTTCTGTAGGGATAATGTGGCCAACATGTGTAAATACTCGTGGGAGTGGTAGTAGAGGAAATCGTGAGTGCTCCGACGAATAAGTCGGTTAATGTTAAAGAAAAAAAGAAATAACTTGCTTTAATTTAAAGATAATAAGCAAAGTGTATGCTTTAGTGTGTAGAATTGCATTACCTTTGAAATGGAAATAAATGTGAGTATTTATAGGAAAATATGCGAATTTGGGACCGTTAGATGGAGGGCACGTGACAGCATCAGCTGTCCATGGCGTCCCCTCCTAGGTGTCAACCAATTAGTCCCTAGGTAGGCAGGCATTTAATACTTCATAATGAGTAGATTTTGTGACTTGACCTTTTGACATCTGCTGCACAAACATCACATCACATAAATTGTAGGATCATATTTTGGCTAAATCTTTGTATAAAAGATCTTTTATTTAGGATGAAGCAACGTGATAGTATGCGCCATTCCATTTCTTATAAATTCATAGTATATCCTTTTGAGGCGTATCACATCGGTGGCTTGGTCAATGTAAATATACATGTGGACCACCTCAACTCGATGCTTTGGTATGCAGGGTGATGTGGAGTGTGGACCTTATTCATTTGCGTAATTGGCAGCCACTTGGGTGACAATCTGGAGTTACTTCATAAGAGGCGTAACAATAGTCCCCAAGTTCATGTATAGATATTTATAATGCGTAGGCTTTTAATGTGCTCGGAATATTTTACCTTCCATCGTTCATTTAGAAATTTCTAAATTTTTTTGCCACAAACACAATATAGTCCCCTAAGTCCATATATAGATATTTATATAATATATGGACTTTCAGTCTTTGCATGAGAATAAAATTTTAAACGATGGCAACTTTGAGAAAAATTGTGAAGGCAGAGGCGATGTCATTGCTTGAGGACGAGGCTCTGAATGATAGCAATTTTGGAAAAAATTGTGAAGGCAAAGGTGATGTGCATCAGAATTTCGAACGTTGAGAAGTTGACTGTGTGGGTTTAAACTGATGAGATATTTCGTTGGATTGTGTGCAAATGATTTGAAAGACATTGTACGTTTTCAAGAAAACCAATTGAGTCATCGCCTATTTCCAAGGCACGCATCTTTTAGGTCATTGTTGCTAATTCCATCTGACGGCTAGGATTTACGAACTATGCCTATAAAAGACTTGCTTCACACTCTTTAGGCTTTTTATTTAGCAAAAATTTGAAATCGCAAAAGAACTCTGCAAATCTCCAATCTTCTTCGAAGTTCTTCACGCATTCCAACCACAATCTCCATTTTTGGCGAGTTAGCACCTTAGCTGCATTCTTTTTAATGTTGAAGAAGAAAAGAAATAACACACTTTAAATTCAAGATAATAAAGTAAAGTGTATGTTTGACTGTATAGGATTGCATTACCCTTGAAATGGAAATAAGCATGAGTATTTAGAGGGAAAGAGCCGGATTTGGGGCCGTAGGATGGAGGGACACATGGCCACATCTCTTGTCCGAGGCATCCCCTCCTAGGTATCAACCAATCAATTCCTAGCAGGCTGGCATTTAATACTCCCTAATGAGTAAATTTTGTGACTTGACCTTTTGATGTATACTGCACAAATATCACATCAATCAATCATGTGGATCTTATTTAAGCTAGGTATTCATATAAAAGATCTCTTATTTAATATGGACGAGGTAAGGTGATAATATTCCAATATCGTCGTTCCACATCTTATCAATTCATTGTATATCCTTTCGAGATATATCACTTCGGCACCTCAATCAACGCAAATAATCATGTGGACCACCTCACCTCGGCACTTTCGGTGCGTGGGGTGATGTGGAGTGTAGACCTTGTTAATTTACTCAGTTGGCAGCCACATAGGTAACGATCTAGAGTTGTTTCATAAGAGGCGTAACAATATATGTGATATTATTGAACTTGACATGTGAGCTATCGAAATGATGTCACGTGTCAAGAATTTTAAAGGAGAAGGAGAGTTTTCATGAGGAGGGGGGACTCTTAACACTTCATATTTCCAAATATCTCCTTGGAAAATAAAAAGAACATCCGTAGTGACAATCGTTATGTACAAATCGCTATCAAGAATATTCTCATTTTTGCATTTTGAGTTGGCTTGAATCTTGTTCATTCAATTTTCGACGTCAACAGAATTCATCAATTACTAAAATTAAAGAGATGTCAAATCATCATTCTTTTGAGAGAATTAAGAGGCAATTACAAGCTTTCAATCCGTTAAAGATCCAAATTTTATTTTTTTGGCAAAGAAGAGAATGTACAACTGGATATCAATCAATAAATCATTCGAAAAATTCAAAATTTCAAGAATTATGTTCTTCTTCATTTATCAATAATCCGGGTTTTGTTCTATCAAATAAACATGATTTCTTATAATTTTGTAATGCTAAGTTAGATTTCTATTTACTAAGATATAGATGAATATTTGCTATGAAGTTTTTAATGTAATTTATTTTGATAGCCATTATGTATGATTTCTAGGATAATTGTTATTATGTTTATTGTCTTTCTATTACTTGATCACTAATTAAATTGAATTGTAAATTTTATTGTTATCGAGATAAACAACAGGATAGATATCACTTATAACAACCATTGTGATGTCTTATAGGGGATAGATATATACTTTTATGCTTTACATGATTTCAATAGATATTCTAATATTTTTAATGCATGCTTTCATGTTCGCATGCTTTATAGAGATATTGATCAAATGAGAGGATAAATTTAATTCTACTAGAGAGATATTATTGAATAACTTTGTACCATTGATCAACAAGAATGCATATATGTTGTCATGATATTGATTTGTATTAAAATTAATTAATAAGGAGGATTCAAAGTTTTAG